GGGAAAGAGACATTGTTGGGGGAGAATTCTAGAGATGTACTATGCACTGAAATGGGTGTCCCTTGAGTCTGGGATGAGCAGGGAAACAGGACATGGAGGGCTAAGTCGGTCTCCCATCCACTTCTGCGGGACAGAGGATTTCTCAGATGTGGTCTGGCTGGAGAAAGCCATGGTTTCATTCTGCAAGAAGATGGAAGAGGTTATTAAAGATACAGGGAGTTTATCATCTGGGGTTCTAAATGGTATAGACTAGAGAACGAGCTCATGGAGCGAACAGAATGCAGTGCTTCTTTGATAAAGGTAGGCCTGAAATTAATTGATTCTTTCAGGGTTTCTAGTTTCTAATCTGGTTTCCAGTTCTAACTTGTGTGACTTTTGGCAAGTCATAAATCTGTCACTCCTTTTTTTTCTTTTTCTCTAGTAAATCAGTTCTTCTAACCCCTTTGAGTATGTATATGCTGCCATAGAGTTTAGGCAACCAAATGTTATGCCCATTTTGTAGATATGAAAATTGAGGATTTCTTAAGATTAGATAACTAGTAGGTGGCAAAACTGGGGCTGAAAACCAGTCTCCTATGCCTTCCAGCTATTCCGCGATAAACCTTTAACAATTCATTTTAAGCTACACACTCTACTTCCTTGCATTTTATTCTGTCTAAACATTTGTAACTTCATATATTCTTCCCTAACTTTAAAATCACAGACGATGCTAATCTGTAAAAAATATATAATCTAGCATTAATGTATGCCAAATTATTTCAAAATTTAATGAAAATCAATGAAACAGGCTAAAGGAGAGAGATGTTCTACTGGGGAAGGCATAGGACAAAATCAGAAGACTTAGCTCAGATTTTACTTTCTTTCACTTTGGAGATATATGACATAAAGCAAGTTACTAAATTTCTTTTTTTTTTTTGGACATGCCACGAGGCTTGTGGAATCTTAGTTCCCCTACCAGGGATTGAACCCAGGCCCTCAGCAGTGAAAGTGCACAGTCCTAACCACTGGAAAGCCAGGGAATTCCACCCAAGTAACTTAATTCCTTTGGGTTTCAGTTTCTTCATCTTTTGAAAGGAAATAATTATATGTATGTAAATCTCACTGCCTAGCACCCAGTAGATACACAATCAAAATTTGTCCTTTTCCTCTCTACTTCTTAAGTCATTGGAGGTATTGGAAATTTAATTGAATCAGAAACCATCATGGTGCTCTACAAATGCTTGATACACGTCTGTTGACTGTAAATTTGAACCAGAGATAAAGATGAAAAATGTTTGTTTCAAATCTCTGTAGCATGACACTACTGTGAGTGCCCTACAGATGGCGCTAGATGTTTACAACGGAATCCTTCCTCCCCATGCGTCCTGCCACTTGATGGAATTGTACTTTGAGAAGGGGTAAGTGTCTAAGAGGTGTTTTTCAAAATTAATATCACTGGACCCCAGGTTTTGCTATCATTATTGTTGTTATTGACTTAAGAGTTTTTTTGTCTGTCTGTCTGGTTGGTTTGGTTTTATATTCAGAGGGAAGAATGGTGGTGAGTAACACTATCTTTGCTTAGTCATGACCTCCTTTTTCTTTGTTTTCATGATGACTTTTATTGGGAAATAATGTACAGACAGAGTAGATGAACAATTTGAAAGAACCACCCTAAGTGACAGAAATTACATTTTTTAAAAAAGATTAAGGTATTCTAAGAAGGATTAGGACATTACACTGTTCTCTTGGAAAACACAGGCTGGTAGAAGATGCCAAGAGAAAAATTAAGTTTGTTGATGGTTATAAATAATGTTCTTTCAATTAAAGATGTCAAACATCCATGCAGCTTCTGGCAATTCATACCCATAGGTAGGATTCTTAAAGTACAACCTCTGCTCAGTGTTTACCACTTTGCAATCTGGTGTGGCCCTCCCCAGCTGACCAAGGCTTGGCTCAAGCCCACTAGAAAGGCCAAGTTTAGAGAGACCAAGTGTCCTAGTTTACCCAGAACTGGAGAGGTTCCCAGAACATGTAAGTTTCATTGTTAAAACCAGGAAAGCCCTGGGCAAACCAGGAAGAGTTGGTCACCATAGCCAAGGTCATACCAAAAATTTGTACCTGCTGTGACACTGGCATTCTCGTTGGGAGGAAGAGACCTCTTGAATATTATTGATGGAATAAGAACAAGGCAGGGGCTAAGTTAGGGCAGGGACCCCAAATTTTTGTTTCAGGGTTAGCTGGGGAGGTGCATTTTGCTCTCCCCTTATGGCATTCACCATAGCTGCAGTCAGGACGATCTTGACTGCAATTACACAGGGCCCTGTGCTCAGAAGAGCCCGTGCTTGGTTTAATGACCCAGTGTCGCTATTCTGAAATTCTTAATAATTTTTAAACAAGGCACCCTGCATTTCTTTTTGCAAATTGTAGTCCTGGCTATAGGTTTCTGGCCACCTGAATTTGTAGAGTAGGGAAATAGCAACACAGAGGCCTATTCTCTACCAAGATCTTCACTGCTTACAAAGAAAGTGAGTTCTGCACAGTTAGGGAAAGGTAAGTTCATCCTTTGTTGAACCTCTAACTGGGTGCCAAGCACAATGAAATAGAACTGAAATGTGGTCTTAGCAAGTTTTGCTCTCAAATTATCTAGTCAGAATGGAGAGACAATACCCATAACATGGAGAAAATCCAAACAGAGCTGAAAATGGGAATGAGAAGACTGGACAACAAGTGCTCTGTCAATACTGGCTTCAGGCACAGAGTTAATAAATCCAGTGAAAATTCCAGGATCAGCTCTAGGAGTAGGCTCTGTCTCTTTGGGATAAGACAAAAGAAACTACCCACTTTCCTCGAGCCTCCCCCCTCTCTGATTTCTGTACCCGGTAGTCCTGAGCCTGCTTTTATTTAGGTCACTGCAGCATTTTGTCCCACTGAATCGCTCTCTCACCACCTTGAATAAATCCATATTATGAATTAAGTGTGGGGTATTTTTCAACTAAGAGACACTGAACAACAGAAAAAAAAGTAACCAACTGTCACTAACAGGCAGAAGTCAAGTTTGTTGTTATATTAAGATTTTTTTAACACTCCAGAGGAGTATCAAAAGTTAAACTTGCTTGCTTATAGATTAGGAACAAGGAGAATCCAAGTTAACAAATATAGGCATATGTATATACCAGCAAATCAGGGGATCCTCCGTGTAAGGTGATCCCACTTTATCCCTATGAGAAAATAAAGAGAGAAAAAGAAAATTTTTAGATTTTTATCCACCTTAAACATACAAACTTTTAAGGTTGTAGATAAGATAGCTAAATATATTCTAAAACTACTCCATTTTTGGTTAGGTACATAAACTTAAAATCATATACTATATAAAATAATTCACTAAGTTAAATAGTGCTTCTTCTTTCATATTTTATGAAACACTTTTATTCAAACTCTTTGTATGCACCTTTACTTGTGTCTTTACCACCGGAGCCAATTTTGAGTCCCCTAAAAATGTTTTCCAAATATGTTAATTAATAAGGGTAATTTCGGCTGCTGTACAGATGAACCTCAAATCTCAGAAGCTTAACTCAATGGAGATTTCTTTCTCATTCATCTAACAGTCCAATGTAGATGTTCCTGGCCAATAGGAAGTGACTCATCCATGGTGTGATTCACACATGGTGATTTGGGGACCCAGGATTCCATTTTTGGGACCTACAGTCTTCAAGAGTGCTGTGCTCACCTACAGAGAGCTTGTAGGAAAGAATGAGAGGGTGGAGAAGACAATCTGCTTAGCAAGCACCTCAGCCCCGAAGGGGCATATGTCACTTCTACTTACATTCTACGATACTAGCTAAAATTTGTCACTTGGTGCCTCCTGACTGCAAGGGAGTCTGGGAAGTATACTCACTTCTCAGCTGTAACTTTATTCTATGTAAAGAGAATCATGAATTTTGATGGACTATTAGTCATCTTTGCCATATTATCATGAGATAAAGGATACTGTCACTGAAAAAGTTATTCCAAGATATAAGTGCTCATTCATATAATATTAGGGAAGTTTTTAGAAACATATAAATGAATATTTGTGGTTACTACTGTTTATATGGTTTCTCAAAGTGATTTATTTGAAAGGCTTGTTTATAACAACATCCAAAAGTTGCAGTTGTGAGGTTACTATACTTGAATTTCTCTCCTGTCTCTTTGGCAAGTGACTTCCATAGGCAGCTTGTACTAGCTTTACAAGGTTGGTTTGGGCCAGTGGTCCTTCCCTAAACAGTGTATTTTTTTTTTAAATAAAGTGGTGAGAGAGCCCTCCTCAACATGAGTAAATGTAAGGACTTGAATACACACCCACCCCCTCTTTCTGAGGTATCATTTTTATAAGTCTTGCTGTGTATTCAAGCACATATGTTATATATTATTCAGTTCCATGTTTCTGGCCTGGTTAAGGAGAGGGAAGATACATTCATTCAGGGGGAAGACTGAAAGAAATATTGAGAGAGGAAAAAGAAAAGGAAAGAGCAAATGTGTAGCATGAAAGAGAGAATAGGAGAAAGAAAACCCAACATCCCACCTGCACCCCACTTCTTACTTGAAGGTTCTCCAAATCACCCCCAACTCCCCCAACCATTGCCCCTCAGCTCCTTCTCTGACTAAGCATCCCGGTCCCTGCCTCGCATGCCCCTGGTCATCTAACAGACCAGCCCTCCCATTTCCACCCTCCCAATCTGGCCCACCTGCCCCAGTCCCCCTCTTCCCACAGCTAAATTGGCCAATATCTACTCATTCCCATAAATTCTTCCACTTGTCCTTCAGCTGACATGGTACAGGCTAAGTAGAAAGAAATTCAATGGCAGTTCAACAACACAGAACTAACAGAGGCCTTTCCTCATGTTCCTCTACCTTCCTCCACCAGGGAGTACTTCATAGAGATGTACTATCGGAATGAGACGCAGCATGAACCACATCCCCTCACGCTGCCTGGCTGCACCCCAAACTGCCCTCTGACAAAGTTTGCTGAGCTGGTTGCCCCTGTGATCCCCCAAGACTGGTCCACAGAGTGTGCCATGAGCAACCATGAAGGTACTGAGGATGCTATGGATTAGGGTACACACGGAGCTCTGCAGAGAGGGCAGAACACCCTTTCTCCAGACGGTTTGGTGCTTTGAGAATATAAACTGGCTTCAACCCCATCTTTGGGGGAAATAGGTTTGGGGCGATAATTGTATGTTTCAGAGACCTCAACTTCAGGCAACTCCTACCTCTTCACCTGGCCCTGTCCCTACTTGCCATAAACCTTGTCAACCTACATAAACCCAGGAAGCAGTAATGAAGTAGAAAACATTTACCTGGGATCAAAGAATTGCAATTCGGGGAACACGTCAAACTGGAACAAAATTAGAAATGTAAGAATGGGGGCTTACCTTGTGGTGCAGTGGGTGGGAGTCCACCTGCCAATGCAGGGGACATGGGTTCAGGCCCTGGCTCAGGAAGATCTCACGTGCCACTGAGCAACTAAGCCCGTGCGCCACAGCTACTGAACCTGTGCTCTAGAGCCCGTGTGCCACAACTACTGAGCCCACATGCCACAACTACTGAAGCCCACTTGCTTAGAGCCCATGGTCCACAGCAATGAAGCCACAGCAATGAGAAGCCCGCACACCATAATGAAGAGTAGCCCCCACTCTCCACAACTAGAGGAAGCCCGCGTGCAGCAATGAAAACCCAAGGCAGACAAAAATAAATTAATAAAATAAATAAATTAAAAAAAAAGAAATGTAAGAATGTTCTGAATACCTCCCAGGAAAAAACTTATTGGATATTTAGGAATAAACCTACCTAAGGAGACAAAAGACCTGTATGCAGAAAATTATAAGGCACTGATGAAAGAAATTAAAGATGACACAAATAGATGGAGAGATATACCATGTTCTTGGATTGGAAGAATCAACATTGTGAAAATGACTCTACTACCCAAAGCAACCTACAGAGTCAATGCAATCCCTATCAAACTACCACTGGCATTTTTCACAGAACTAAAACAAAAGATTTCACAATTTGTATGGAAACACAAAAAACCCCGAATAGCCAAAGCAATCTTGAGAACGAAAAATGGAGCTGGAAGAATCAGGCTCCCTGACTTCAGACTATACTACAAAGCTAGAGTAATCAAGACAGTATGGTACTGGCACAAAAACAGAAATATAGATCAATGGAACAGGATAGAAAGCCCAGAGATAAACCCACGCACATATGGTCACCTTATCTTTGATAAAGGAGGCAAGAATATACAGTGGAGAAAAGACATCCTCTTCAGTAAGTGGTTCTAGGAAAACTGGACAGGTACATGTAAAAGTATGAGATTAGAACACTCCCTAACACCATACACAAAACAACTCAAAATGGATTAAAGACCTAAATGTAAGGCCAAAAACTATCAAACTATTAGAGGAAAACATAGGCAGAACACTCTATGACATAAACCACAGCAAGATCCTTTTTGACTCACCTCCTAGAGAAATGGAAATAAAAACAAAAATAAACAAATGGGACCTAATGAAACTTCAAAGCTTTTGCACAGTGAAGGAAACCATAAATAAGACCAAAATACAACCCTCAGAATGGGAGAAAATATTTGCAAATGATGAAACTGACAAAAGATTAATCTCCAAAATTTACAAGCAGCTCATGCAGCTCAATAACAAAAAAACAAACAACCCAATCCAAAAACGGGCAGAAGACCTAAATAGACATTTCTCCAAAGAAGATATACAGACTGCCAACAAACACATGAAAGAATGCTCAACATCATTAATCATTAGAGAAATGCAAATCAAAACTACAATGAGATATCATCTCACACCAGTCAGAATTGTTAGTGGGAAGCAACCGCATAGCACAGGGAGATCAGCTCGGTGCTTTGTGACCACCTAGAGGGGTGATATAGGGAGGGTGGGAGAGAGGGAGACACAAGAGGGAAGAGATATGGGAACATGTGTATATGTATAACTAATTCACCTTGTTATAAAGCAGAAGCTAACACACCATTGTAAAGCAATTATACTCCAATAAAGATGTTTTAAAAAAAGAAATAAAATATTAAAATAAAAAAACCTTATTGGAATGTTGAAAGTGTGGGTGTGATATCTGTTCTGAGGATGAAAGGAATGTATAAGGCTTCAATTTTGGTATCTTCAGAAAACCTAAGCAAACTCACAGGTCCTACTGAAACCACTTACTATAAACGAAGAAATCATATTCAAATAACCCCCTTTAGAGTCCTGTAGATTTGCCATGTGCAGATGCAACTTGCCTAGAGAACACCATGCTACATTGCCAGC